GTCGCAGCAGGTGGGCCAAGATTCCGGCCCCGCCATACCTCCTTAGGACAGTCTGGGGAAAGGGTGGCAGCAACCTGTGTACTGGGGTCCCTGGGGACCAGGTGGAACCCAGTGTCTTCCCATAGCGGATCTGGGCGGACGGGGCTGGGCCGAGCTTCATGGACGCCTTTATAGCGACCGCTGGAGCAGCCTCAGCACCCGGCCCGGGGCAGCGTGCCTGGGGCCAGCCTTCGGTCAGTGTGAACGCCCCCTGCCGTCCGCCCGCTCTACCCCGCGCGCCGCGCTGGAGGGCCTCTGCGTTCTGGTGAGGGGTCCCTGGAGGAGGGGACCACAAGCCCTGCCTGTGGTTCCTGTCTAAAAGGCTGCCAGGAAACGCCAACGCCAGCTCCAGCTCTGGAGGAGCCCCTGACGCCTCGGAGCCGGTGGGCGCTGACCTTCGGACCGCCTTCCACTCGGGAGCTCTTCCTCCGCTCCCTCTCTTCCTCCAACCCCGAGAAACCCTTTTACTCAATCTGTGGCATTTCAAGCAAAACGCAATTGTTATCCCTGGGGGCTGGAAGGGCCGGTGAAGCCTCAGTGTGTCACACGCATCCCTGTGTGTGTGTGTGTGGGGGGGCACACTGTACTGTGGTGACACATGGTACCCGTCACTGAAATACAGGACGGAAGTCCTCACTAACCTAAACGGTTTAGGGTTCTAAACTTCACTCCAGTTCGTCGCCTTTTACATCAGGGAGGTGACTGGTTTTTACCATATTTCTTTCCAAATTATTCGAAGTTCTTGCTGTGAGTGTCTAATCACTTAGGTCACTGTGGAGACACTTGCAGATCCAAAGGCAGGGGTTCAGTTTGAGGGGTTGTCTAACAGGAGAGCGAGTTGCCAGCTTGTGGTGACGAGCAGGAGGGGCCACCTCCTCTGGCACTTGGAGGGGTGACCTGGTAGACTGGTGCGTTCCCAGAGGGCAGGGTGGCCTGCTGTTTTCAAGAGGGTGGACCTGAAGGCCGCAGACTGGCCCAGGCGGGTGTCTGGTGGCTGGTGCTGGACTCTCAGCTCTTGCAGCATCCCGACACTGTTTGTTTTGATCTCATGGTTTGCTTTGGTTTGGGGAATCTGTTTGACCCAGCTCTGCTTTTTAAAGATAGTCCGAAGGAAGAGGACCGTGTCTATCCTGAAAGTCCTGTGAGTTCGCTTGGCCAAGGGGAGAGGGAGGTGTGAAGGGCGGAAAGCCGGCCTTGGAAAGGGAAGGCAGCGTTGCGTGTTTCAGTCCTCAACTTCAGACACCCTCCCAGCTTCATCTGACCCATTTAACGGGCAAAGAAACTGAGGTCAGAGAGGCTCAGCAGCTGGTCCAGCTCTGCCCTGTGCTCAGAGGCCTCCTGGGACCCACCCCTCTGGAGGCCCTCTGCCTCCAGACTCTGTGCCTTGGGTGATCAGCTGCCCGGCCGGCAGGCTGCATTGCCAGGTACAGTAGCTGCCTCAGCCACAGGAGGTGAGAAAGCTTCCCCTGGGCATGACTGTCACAGTGTAGAACCAGCTGGCCTTAGGTGAGGCTCAGAGGCTCACACTGGTCACCATGTGGCAGCACGGTGACCAATCCCGCCTAGAACGGGGATGTCATCAGATGTGGTTTGGAGGTAGTCATGGCTCCTATAAGGACTTTGTTTCCAGGTGGACCTACTGGTAGGGTGACCATGTAACTTCTTGTTCGATGATTGATTTCTTCATTTGTAATTCTTAAAAATTAATTCTATTCATAAGAAAGCATGTGTGTATACTTGGGAGGGGAGGGGCAACTTCCACACGGGCTACTCATGCCGTGATCAGGAGAGGAGACTGGGATCCTGGCAATGCTTGCCTCACGTGCTGTTCGGTTGACTCGGGATGCAAACCTGTGGTGGCCATGTGGCTTCCAGCACTGCAGTTAATATGCTAACGCTGCACCACTGAGGCTGGGCCTGCAGGTATTTTTTTTTTTTCTTTTTTGAGAATGAAAGGATCATGATTAATATTAATGCTGGGGCAAGAGGCCAAACCAGGGCCAAGGGAGACTGTGTCGTCTTCCTTATCATTGATCCATCACACTCGCAGAATCTTGGATCAGCTCTTTAGAAGGCTCAAGTCAAATGTTAGTTAAAAGCAGGATACAACTAAGTTTACAAGGAGAGGGACGTGCTAAGTAAATGACATCTAATCCACTTGAGAGCACATCACACAGCAATACATTATAGTTCTGAAGATTACATAGCAACACGGAAATATTTATGACCCACATCATAATTTTAAGTGAGAAAGCAGAGCACAAAATTATATCTGTACTGTAGCTACAACTACATAAAACTATGCATAGGGAAGGAGACTACAAGGGGAAGGTTTGAATGATTACAGGTAGGCATTCTCACCTATTTCCTCCTCTCCAGCCATGGATCCAAACATTATTTCTGACGTGACAGTAACATCAGGGGAAGGTAGGAGGGCTTGTAAACATCCCTCCTTCTCCTATCCCAGAACATTCTAGAAAGTCCTATCTCTCCAGTGGAATGAATTTTTACTTGCCCACTCTGCAGTGTCTAGGGGCTACATTTTGTTGATTCATCACACATTTTGTTGTTACTGACATTCTCTTTTGATTTTTAAAAAATATTCTACAAAAAGTGTGTTGCAATCTTAATGAAAACAATTATTACCAAATTAAAAAATATATCTTAGTAAAGGTTAGATTTACAGGACCAGCAGTGTGGTAGGTAAGGACCACCGACCACTGTTCAAGTCCTGGACCTGGAGGCTTGCTTTCTCACTTTCTAGTCAAGTTAAAAAATAATACTAAACAAAACTTAAAAAATAATTCTTTAAAGAATTAAGTTTACAACATTGGGATAGTAAATAAAATGATCTCTAAGGACAACTTGGGTCTCTAGTGCCGCCTACATTCTCAAATAGTGACGGGGCAGGCAGGAAGGGCAGTGGTTGGGGAATCTGGAGCCTGACCAACCCAGCGTAGGGAAGAGGGGAAGGAGGGAGGGATTCTGCATATCACAAGAGGCTGCTGTCCAGGACGTCGTATCTGCCAGCAGCCCCTCCTTTGAGTGGTTAATCAAGGTTCCAGATGCTGCTGTCTCCAGCCACAGTGTATAAAAACTGGGGGTTGCCCGTTTATTCATTGCCTCAAAGCATTGCCTCCCAATTTTTTTCAGTTGATCCTGTTTTCTCTTAAAGTCACCAGGACATCAACGGTACCACCTTGAAACACCTGCCCCAAATCCATACATGTTGTCTAGTCTCTTGAACTGCAGTGTCAAGATCACCATGAAAACTCAGACATTTCCTACTACAGGCATTTCCTGCAAAGCAGCACAGTGAAGGCCTATGATGTCACCAGGTCATGGGACCTATTGTGCCTCCTGCTTCTCTGTCATCAAAGCTACCTGCTGGCATTTGCCTCAGCTCCAGCGCTGTCCCGGGGACTCCAGGTACATTAACCCATTAAATCTCATGACAGCTCTGCTAAGCAGGGCCTGTGTTTATCCCGACTTGATAGACAAGTAAACTGAAGCCCAGAGAAATGAAGTAACCGGGCAGCGAGTAGTCTGCAGGGCCAGGATGCCCACCCAGGCAGCCTTGGCCCCAGCTGGTGCTTTGACCACTGTGCTCTGGGCACCCGCTGCGTGGGGTCACCTGGAGGCAACAGTGAAGGCACGCCTGGCCTTTTGGAGCAGAGGCTCCAGGGAGGATGTCTTCACCATCTTCTGCTCTCCTAGAAAAGCAAGCTAGTACACGCTGGAGGAAGGGGGTTGGGATATTGAGGAATGTGACATTCCCATCTGCATTTGCCGAAGGCACAGGACGAGTGCTGGAAACTCAGCCTTCCATGTGCAACACCGACACCAGAGGTCCCGGCTGTCGGTCTTGCCCACAGTTACACAGGAGACTGTGGGGCAGGGCAT